ACATAATAAAAAGTTAGTTTCCTTGAATTTTATTCACTCTGTATTTGGACCAGCTTTCACTCTATTTTTATTAATATATTTGTGAGATATGCAAAAACCCTAAATGTGCTAACATTTCACTTCAAATAGGATATAAAATAATAAACATTGCTCGAAATTTAAGTACAATCCATTTTATGATCTCAAATGTAGAGCGAAGAAAGACTCTGCACAAATCAAGCTGAACCTTAAATGGTCATGACGCGGTGAAATGTGAATGTGAATTTATCATTCCGGAATCCAATAAGACGAAATGACCCTCAGACAGAAGGAATATACTCATTTCATAAAACGGATGGCAGTTATTCGCACGGACAGCCGTAAGATCGAATAAACCCAATTTTTACTTTTAGTTTCTCTGTGCATCGTGTGAAAGATGAAATGTGCTGATAACCTGTCAGGCTGCAACACACATATTTTCATCTCTATATTATTGTGTGTCTCTAGAGTTCCCATTGGGGCGATAAATTAATTTTTACAACGAAAAAAGACTGGCTCTGAAAAACTTTATTCAGTCAAAAATTTTTATCGTTTTATCCTAGATTTGTATGCATTGAAAGTGGTATTTATTCCACTTATCCTGTAATGTATAAACACATATTAAGATTGAAATAGCCGCTCATGTCCATTGGACTCATGCTGATATGCAAGCTTAAATTAAACAAACTTTTAAAATTTTGGAAGGAGTTCTAATGTTTTCCTTACTTAACATCAAATATGAACTCAAATCAAAATGTGCGTGGAAAATGTTCAACAGTATTTGTAAAAATAATAGAATTTATTTTCAATTTTTACAGTTGCCGAAGCAAAATAATCGACTTTTATGGGCTATTTGTGTTTTTAGGCAAACGTAATTGAATCTAAAAACAGTTTAAAAATATAATCAGATTTTCTTTGAAATAAACTGGTTTCATTATTTCAACATCATATAAAAGAATATTTAATTTTGGAAATGAGGAAACTCACAAATTGCTTACACAGCTAAGGACATTATTTGGGTCGTTTTACCCATTCTATGGGTCTTCTAAAACGTACTAAAACGTACATGATGTAACCGTCCTGAACAAATGTGGTATAGGTAGTGACCATAGACTTGTTAGGGGAAAAATCGTAATAAACTTGAAAAGAAAAAGAAAACAAATGATAACACTTAAAGCTGGAAAACAGGATAGCCGTATTGGAGATATTCAATCTTACAAGGAGTACATAAACGAGAAATTGAATATAACCACCATAGAGGCAGAAGGTAACATCGAGAATCTTAACAACATAATCTCAAAAGCGATATACAGCGCGGCACAGCAGCAACATCAGCAAGGATCAGTAAATGGCGAGAAGATAAGTGAACATACAAAAAAGCTGATGACAAAACGAAGAGAGATGAA